TATATATAAATATTATTAATATATATTTATATATGCATGTATATTATACACAAAAGATTTATATAAAGGAGACTGCAGCAGCAGCAGCAGCAGCAGCAGCAGCGGTAGTAGCAACAGCAGCAGCAGCAGCAGCAGCAGCAAGGAGGAGACTTACAATTATTTTTTCTTTTTTCTTTTTCTTTTTTTGTTTTATAACATTACAAGGAGACAGCAGCAGCAACTGCTGCTGCTGCTGCTGCTGCTGCCAACCTGCAGCAAATGCAGCAAACAGCATCACAGCAGCAGGTGCTGATGGTGCTTTTATTGCTGTTGCTGCTGCTGCTGCTGCTACTAATCCTTCTGTTGCTGCTGCTGCTGATAGTGCTGCTGCTGCTGCTGCTGCTGTCTCTTTGAGGGGACAAAGGGACACTGAGGGAGCAAAGAGACACAAAAGGAGACACTATAAGGCTGCTGCTTACATTGATCTTCTTGCTGTTGCTGCTGCAGTTGCTGCTGCTGCAGTTGCTGCAGCTGCAGTTGCTGCTGCTGCTGCTGTTTTCTGTGCTGCCTTATCCTTTGTGTTTGTGCTGCAGCATCTGTTTGGATCATTTTGCGTCTTTGTTCTGCATTATCTGCTGCTGTTGCTGCTGCTGTTGCTGCTGCTGTTGCTGCTGTTGCTACTGCTGTTGCTGCTGCTGTGTCTCCAAGCAGCAGCAACTCATCTAGGGGACTTCTTTGTGTATATGTTTGTTTCCTTAAGTCCCATAGGGAGGCAGTTTGCATGCAGTAACTATCTGTGTCTCCTTTCTGCTGCTGCTGCTGCTGCTGCGGTGCAGCAGCAGCAGCAGCAAAGGGACAATCCTGAGTGAATCCCTTAGGAGACGGTCCCCAAGGAGAAGGAGACGATTGCCGCAGCAGCAGCAAGCTGCTGCTTCTCCTCCTTTCTGCTGCTTCCTGCTCTCTTATGGGGCCCCTGCTGCGCTGCTTGCTGCTGCTGCTGTGGGGCCCCACACTGCTGCTTCCTATAAGTGGGCATTGGGGCCTCGCTGAGGCCTGCCTCTTCTGCTGCTGCTGCTGCTGCTGTTGCTGCTGTTGCTGCAGTAGCTGCTGGTGCGCGGGTTTCCTAGGTACTGCGGAGGAACCCGCTACAGCAAGACCTGCTGCTGCTGCTTCTTTTGCTGCTGCTGCAGTAGCAGCTGCTTCTGCTGCTGCAGCGCATGCAGCAGTTACATCTTCTTCGCTATAACGCGGACGAGGTATGTAACTCTTATTACTGGAGGATTCTTTTTGCTGCTGCTGCTGCTGCTGCTGCTGCTGCCGCTGCTGCTGTTGCTGCAGTAGCTGCTGTTGCTTATGCCATTGCTGCCATTGCTGCTGCTGCAGCAGCAGCTGCTGCTGCTGCTCGAAGGCCTCTGCTGGTATGCGAACAAGAAGGTCGCAGGAGTCTGTCTCCTGTGCTCTCTTAAGCTGTCTTGGTCTTTTCATACTCTAGGCTATACTGCTCGTGCTGCTGCTGCTGCTGCTGCTGCTGCTGCTGCTACTGCTGCTGTATTGCTGCTTCTACTAAATGTCTTAGGGAGCAGGCTGCTGCAACAGAGAAAGGTATTATCTAGGTGTATCCTCCATAAGAGAGGTACTAATATTATATGCTGCTGTTGCTGCTGCTACAAACCCTAAAAGGAGGAGGAGGGGCCCCATGGGGCCCCTTGTGTCCGTGTCTCTTGCTGGAGGATTTATTATTAAAGCAACAGGTGGGGGCCCCTCAAGCAGCAGGCTTGCTGCAGCAACAGCAGCAAGGCAGCGCATGCAGGAGGGGCTAAGAGAAATATTATTTCTTCATTAATGGTAGTTGCTGATATAGAGGGAGGGGGAGAGGCAGGGGCCCTGCAGCAGCAGCAACTAGTTGCATGCGACTCGGTGTAGAGCCTGCAGCAGCAGCAGTAATAGGAGCAGCAACAGCAGCAGCAGCAAGAGCAGCAAAGGCTGCGCAGCAGAGTCTGCTGCTGCACTGAAGCTGTATGTGTGCTGCGCGTCTAGCGATGCAGTAAATTGCGGTGTATTTCTTCTTTTTTGTTGTATTTTAAATAAAAATAAATAAATTAATTAATTAATTAAACATAAAAAGTTATTTAATTGTTTTATCTGTTGCTGTGTGCAGCAGCAACAGCAGCAACAGCAGCAAAGTAGCGTAAGGGGAAAGGAAGAACGAAAAAGTGACCTCACCATGGGGTGTATAGGCACCTCATGTATAAAGTTGCATTTTTTGTTTTTTTAACAAAAAATAAATAAATAAATTATAATTAATTAATTAATTATATTTATTTATTCTATTTTTTTATATTTATTCAATTAATTCATCTACAGAGACAGCAGCAACAGCAGCAGCAGCAGCAAACAGACCCCACGAAAAGATGAATAAAAAGAAAAATATTCAATAAATACTTCTTTATATTTGTTGCATATTTTTATTTAAATAAATATTTATAAACTTTATTTAATTATATTTATAAATATATATTTATTTATAATTTATTTAAGGAATTATCCTTGCCAATAAAGGACTATTATTAGATCTACTTTGCTGCCTAATCTATCTACTATGTATATATGTATATGCATGCTATAATCCTCTCCTCTATAAGAAGAACATTTTTGTTTTTTTCTTCCTTTTTCTTCTCCATAAGAAAATAATTAACTCTTTATAACAATAAATTGCCTTACTACGCCTTATTCAATTGCCTCCTCAGGGAAAAGGAAATATCTACCAACACAGACACAACATTTATTTATTTATTTATTTATTTATTTAAATCCTCCTCTTATAGTCTTTGTACAGAGAAAGATGGAGAAGAAAGAAGAGAAAAAGATGCAACTTATACACGTCAACAGCTAAATGCATGCATGCATGCATGCATGCATGCGGACGGCAACAAGTAATGCGCATGCAGGTTTTGGGGCTTGATGAAGAAGGAAAACAGAGGCACAGAATAACAGCAATGCTAACTGCAAAAGAAAGCAGCAGCAGCAGCAGCTGTCAATTTATGCATGCAAGCATGCATAAAGGAATGCATGCAGCAGCAGCAGCTGCTGCGGCTGCTATTGCTGCTGCTGCTCTGTAGATCCATGCATGCATGCATACATGCATGCATGCAGCCTCCCTAGAACAACTACTCAATGTTGCTGGACACCTTATACAAATTCTATGAATCGAATGGCGTTGCCATGAATAAATAAATAAATACATAAATATATAAATAAATAAGAACAAATATACAAACTACACAGCAAACAGAGCCATACGATGGTGTCAGTGAGGATAATATATATAATATATATAATATACAATATTATATATAATTATGTATATAATATACATAATTATATATAATATATATTATATTTATTAGGCATGCGCAGCAATTTTGTGCTGCGGCATCTCTTGGTCATGAAGTTGTCTTATAAATGCAGCAAATAATCAATAAAAAAAGGAAATAAAATAAATTAACGAAGTTTTTCTCCTTTTCTATCGGATTTTTCTGCTGCAGCATTAATATCAATACGTCTTTTCTCTACAGGTTGTACACATTTGAATTTAACCTCCAATACACCTGAAGAGAAAAAGTTGCACATACACCCGAAGAAGAAGATAGCGATCTAGATGGAAAGCGGACATAAATTAGAATTTTAATCATAAAATAAATTAAATAATATAAAAAGAATACGATTTATTCAAAAGATTTTTTAATTTAATGACATTTTACCCTCGATTTCCCCTTTTTTGTTACTGCAGCAGCACCACCAACAGCAACAAGAGCAGCAGCTTACCTGCATTGAATTGTGCAGCCATTGTATCCTCAAGTGCATTAGAAGGAAGCTGAAATCTTCTACAATAATATCCTGTAGGTCTTTCATGAGCAATAAGACGAAGTTGTGATCCAAATCTTTCCTTTAATTCACTCTTAGATCTAGGTCCTCCTATAGATAATAGACCATCACCTACCTCTATATATATATCATCCTTAGATGCACCAGGTAAATCCATTAATAATACTATATTCTCTTCTTTAGGGTCATAAAATAAATCTATTGATGGTATAAATGATACTTTACTCTTTATATCATCAGGAGGGGATATCTCTTGCATCTCGTTAGCAGGAAGTGCTGCCTGCATCTTCTTGGGGCCAGAAGGTATCATCTGTTAAATAAATAAATAAATAAATAAACAAATAAATATAAATTAAATCAATTAATATATTTATTTATTCTTTTTATTGTATTTAATTACTTTTTATTATTTAGTAATAGAAGGGGGAGACGGGGGAAGAATTAGCTATAATAAATACTTAGCAGCAACAGGATTAGGAGAAACAATATTCAAGTACTACTACTAGAGAGGTGTGTGCTGCTGCTGTTGCTGCTGTTGCTGCTGCTGCTGCTGCTGTTTCTTTGAGCATGAGGTGATGTATATCTACCAGCAGATCCGATGCTTCCTCTATCCAGAGCAGCAACAGCAGCAGCAACACCAGCAGCAGCAGCAGCAGCAGCAGATAAATGACTTACTTTGTCAATGACGAGTTGATCTGCTTCAGACTCCGTCTTGGGCCCGAAGGAGCAACAGTCACACATCCTGACTAAGTCTGTATACGCATGCATGCACAGCAGCAGCAGCAGCAGCGGAGAATTAGCACCAGCAGCAGCAGCAAGATAAGCAAGAGAAACAGGAACAATAGGAGCAGCAGCAGCAGCAGCAAAAGATGAATATGAACAGATATGCATGCCTGCAGCACAATGATACACATCGAGCCACTGCTGACCACAGCAAGAGACCAGTTGTTGTTGCTGCTGTTGCTCCTGCTGCTGCTGCTGCTTGCATGCGGTGATTATTCCTTTTCTTTTGGCCTAAACTTAATATAAACTCTGCAGTTGCAGCAGCAGCATCTGTCTGTACTGCTAAAAGAAGCAGCAACGGCAGCAGCAGCAGCAGCAGCGGCGGCAGCAGTGGACCAGCATCGACTCGGGCGGCACAGCCTAGCGGTAAGGATAAAAGGTATTTATTTATGTTTTTTTTTATTTATTTATATTAAATAAAATAAAATAAATAAAAAAAGAAATAAATTAATTGCTGCTGTTAAAGAAGAAGAAAAATGAAGGAGAAATAGCTAACCCGTTAATATACAAGATCAGCAGCAGCAGCAGCAGCAGCAGCAAGAAGGTAATCAAGAACTTAATAGGCTTACTAAGGAGTCCTCTTGATGATCTTTAAGAAATAAGGGGGAAAAGGGAGAAAAAAGGAGGAAAGGGGAGCAAAAGGGAGGAAAAATACAAAGAAAAGGAGGAAAGGTCAGAGAGGGAAGAAAGAGAGAGCTGCCTATACACCTCAGAAGAAGAGCCACACCAGTCGCCGTCGCTGCTGCTGCTGCTGTGCTGCTGCTGCTGCTGCTGTAGGTGTGATTAGCGGCTTATTTTTGATTAAAGATGAATAATTTTATATTATTTGTATATTAGTTTTATTTAAATTAAAAAAGAAGCAAAAATAAGCATAATATACCTTTATTCTCCATATACCCCGTAGGGTGTATCGATACCTCTATATGGTGAATATATGTATGGCTATTTATATATATAAGGAGAAGATAATCAGCATAAATAGAGGGAAGAAAAGAATAATAAAATATTATTTAATTAATTTTTTAATTTAATTTAATTTAATTTAAATAAATAAATAAATATAATCCTCTTTCCTTCATCAGCAATACACCAATAGCTGCCTGTACACCCCAATGTAACCACCGGTCGCTCTCTGCTGTATCCCCACATAACAATTAAATGACGAACTCCCCACAGCTAGCTATAGCTAGCTACAGCTAGCTATAGCTAATTATACTAGCTAGCTGTAGCTAGCTATAGCTAGATGCAGCTAGATGCAGCAGCTACGGGGTATATATATAGAGGATAATAGTATTAATGTTAATAATAACTAGTAAAGAAAAAAGAAAAAAAAAAGAAAAAAAGAAAAAAACCTTTTTTTCTTGTTTTTTTTTAATTAATTAAATTAAGAAGGAAAATAAATTTATTAATTAAATACATAAACACTAAATAAGGGTTTAGGGTTTAGGTCTTCATACAGACACCATACAGACAGCTGCACAAGAGAGCAGCAGCAGCAGCAGCAGCAGCAGCAACAGCAGCAGCAGTAGAAGCAGAAGCAGGAGTTAAGTAAGTATATAAATAAAGAGAAAAGGACAAAAAGAAAATGCATACATAAATAAACTAAATAATAATACTGCATGCAAAAAGCAAAAAAAGAAGCAAAAAAAAAGTATTTATTTTCTTCTTTTTCTCCTTTTTTCTCCTTTTTTCTTTCTCTTTTTTTATTATATATTTATATATTTAATAATAAGGGATTTGATCATATAATAGCCATAGACGGCAGGGGGGCCCCTTAGAGGGCCCCCCACCCCCCACCCCTTGATGCAGGGGCCCCCTAGAGGGGCCCACTGTGTGTCTATTTATCTATTTATTTATAAGGAGAAAAATAAATAAACAAATAAAAAAAAAAAAAAAA